CAGTACTTAGATCAAGGAGTTTCTTGTCTTCTGGATTGGGTTCAAAACCAAAAGGCTACGGAGTTGAACACTGATAGTCGTAAACCCAAAAATTGGGCCGGCTATTCCACGACGGTTATAAAATAAAATGCTCATGGGTCTGCGTAGTGGCTCAAGGAATAAAGCGTTCGCCTCCCTATGAGGTTAGCTGGATACGAATCCTAGCAGTGGCTGGTGGATACGAATCCTGCTCCCGGCTCGCACCGACCACTGAGCTGACGTAAAATATCCTCAGTGGTAGACGGATCATGGGTTAGAAACCCTTTGCTGTCAGGCTAACCGAGTGAGGTTTTCGTGATTTTTTTTCCTTCATGTAACATACGTTAGTTATTTCCATCAAAAAAGTTTTCCACGAAGGCTATGCTATTCCCAATCCCTTGTCTTCCAGGTTGGGTTAAAAAGTACAAGGCTACGGAGTACAGACACAGAATTGCGTCGGCTGTTCAACACAACACCGATTTTAAAATGAAATAAAATGTTTAAGTTGAGAAAAGTAATGGTTTAGTTTTAGAATAACACTACAGTAACTCATTGCAATTACGAACTTAAAGATAATAGAACATAAATACCTGAGATACTGAAGGGGAAAAAAAAAGAATATTTTAGGTATTAAAATTTAATGTATGAAGTTACGTAAAATTACAAGAATCTTATAAATTAAATACATAAAGTTCTTATGTAATACATTAAAATAAGTTAAAATCTTGTCATTTTTAACTTAGAAAAAAAAAATGAATAATAACCAACATTTTTAAATATTTCTAAACTTTCTATTAAATCGAATTACCAATTACGAACTTAAAGATAATAAAATATAAATACCTGAGATATTGAAGAAAAAAAAAGAAAAAAAGAATATTTTAGGTATTAAAATTTAGTATATGAAGTTACGTAAAATTACAAGTATCTTATAAATTAAATGCATAAAGTTCTTATGTAATACATTAAAATAAGTTAAAATCTTGTCATTTTTAACTTAGAAAAAAATGTATATTAACCAACATTTAAATGTTTCTAAACTTTCCATTAAATCGAAATCAAATCTTTTAAAATTTGCCATATTTTTCTAAATACCTCAAAATAAAATCCTCACTTCGTTGTTCTAAATAAATTTTATCAAACGATATTTGACTTATAAAGAGATTTAAGAGAATTCTAATATTTGATTTCTATACCCTATTCCTGCAATGCGGTTTTATCTGTAATCGATCCAAACAACGAAAAATAATAACCTATTTATTGATGGTAATAAATTTGCTGGCAGTCCCTCGATCATTCCTTTATCTGTTGGTAGAGAGTTTCATAGGATAAGCGACAAGGCGGGAGCAAAAGGATGAAGAAGAAAGAAATAGGATGAGAGAGTGAGGGGGGTTGAGAGAAAAACTCTTGTAGACAGTTCCGTGGATCACCTCACGGCTCGCGAGAGAAGAATATTTCAACCGGAAATGGCTCCTTTTTTATTCTCGCCAACAATCTGAAGGGAGTGAGTAGACGACAAATATTGAAACGATGATAGCGCCCTCCAACACTATCATCACCCACATTTGGCGCTTTTGTTACGGTGATTGAATATTAACCAGGGAAAGGAAATGACGGAAATATGTATGGTTAGATTAATAACTGTATATTGGGTAAGGCAAAATGTGGTTTGAGTCATAATTTCTGATGAAATCAATGAAATATATTGAACTTTAATTATTAATTTAATTTTTTTAATGGAAATTTTTGATTTAAATCGATTTGAATCGATATATATCGGGTAATATAACTAATCATACAACACGTTTTAACCTGGAAAAGAAAAACGTCCATTTTTAGCACCCAGTGTAAAGATATACGATATGAAATATTACAAAAACTGTATGGTATACCCGCATATCCTTTTTTTTAAATTTTGGATTAGTAAGCGATTTTACAAAAATCAAAATAATATCTATAATAAATAACATTTTAAATCGAATTATAATAAATATTCGAAATCTCAAAATTGCAAAGGCTAGTTTGTCCCAATGCTTGATCCAGGAGTTCCCTTGTCTTCCGGATGAGGTTCAAAATTACAAGCTACTGAGTGAACTCAAAATTGCATAGGCTAGTTTATCCCAATGCTTGATCCAGGAGTTTCCTTATCTTCCGGGTGAGGTTCAAAATTACAAGCTACGGAGTGAAACATCGATAGTCGAAAAATAAGAATTGGAGAAACTAAGAATTAAAACTGGAAAGTTCAAGCTGCGATGGCTCAAGGGATTAAGCGCTAGCCTCCCATGTTCGAATCCCAACGTTGGCTGGTCAGAATTCTGCTCCAGTTTTGAACCGACCAGAGTGCTAACATAAAATATATTCAGTGGTAGATGGATCATAGGTTAGAATCTCCTTGCGGTCAAACTAAGCATGGGAGGTTTTCAAATGTAGCGCAAATGCGGAGTAATTCCATAGAAAAGTCAAGCTACATTGAATAGAGTTAACTTGTCTTCTGGGCGGATTTTAAAATTTCAAGGCTGCAAAGTTGAACTTTGATAGTCGTAAACTCAGAATTAGGTCAGCTGTTCGCAGCCCCGTTTATAAAATATAAAATGAAACTGAAAAGTGCGCCCACTTCATAACAACGATAAAAATTAACTAATTTTTCAAGCAGAATAAAACTTCCTAAATTAGTTTAGATCGGAATATTAAGCAGTCAATTCAAATTTACATTTAGAGAAATTTACATTAACAAATAAACAAGACGATTTGTTTATTCATCAAAATTGATTACTAAATCTATTGAGTAGATGAATCATTATTGTATTAATACCTTAATGCAATAATGATTCATCTACTCAAAATTAACGAAAGGCGATCTCTCAATGAATTCTTAATCGCTATTTCGTGATCAATACAAAAATGATCTATTTATTTTTCAGACATTGTTCTAACGGTTTAATATAACAAAGATTCAACGATAGGGAAAGAATTTTTTTTAATAACTTGTTTAAGTTAAGGTCCAAGATATTCATTTTAACCATTCGATTCCTTCTGCATTTGTCTCACCATCACCGTATAAGTACACAATCGAATGGGACAATTAACTCCCTATACCATTTTAGAAGAAAATGTTCGCCTCTTAATTCCTATAAGGTAGAAATTTTTCTATTAATCATATCAAAATAGATATTCGCTTCTCATATAATAGCATAAATATATATTTGACTTTATATTATAGTATAAGCATATATTTGATTTTCTATTATAGTATAAGCATATATTTGACTTTCTTTATAATATAAGCATATATTTGTATATATAAGCAGCTATTATAGTATAAGCATATATTTGGCTTTCTATAATAGTATAAGTACATATTTGACTTTCTGTTATAGTATAAGTATATATTTGACTTACTATTATAGTATAAGTATACATTTGACTTCCTATTATAGTATAAGGAAATACTTGCCACTCTATCACATAATCTAAGTAGATATTCACCTCCCATAATAAATGTAAATATTCTTCTTTTATCATGTAGTATAATTAGAAATTCGCACCTCTATCAAGTTGTAAAATTTAGTAAAGTAATTTATCTTTCTATCAAAATATAAGTAGACACCTAACATCATATGATAGTAGAAATATTCGTCTTCTTATTATAGTATAAGCAAACGTATAAGCGATTATAGTATAAGCAAACATTTATCTTCCTGCCGTAGTATAAGTAGACATTAATCTTATTAACATAGAATAAGTAGACTTTTATCTTCCTATCATAGTTTAAATCGATAACAAAGGGGAATACATTTATTGTTCCATTTATACATATTCTTGATCTAGTTTCATCCGGATATGAGGATTTTATATATTTTTTCTTTTAATATTAGCATTTTTATTCAAAATGTACAAGTTTAAAAACTTAATACACGATAGGGAGTCGCGAATGTTGAGACAAACTTTTTGGGGAGTTAAGGCACATCATCAGGGTAAAAATTGCATAGGAACCCAAACCGGGAAATGTCATCATACCCGGCTAGGGACGCTTCCTTATTATGATTTGTCCAGAAGCACGAGAAGAAACAGCGGCGCAAGGATGGCGACATTTCATGGGTTCTTATGCAATTTCATTCCTCATGTACTCTAACGAACTTTGTCGCAACGTTTATGCAGCGGTCCCCTCTTATATACATGCGCTTTTTAAACTTGTACGTCTTACAACAATGAGGAAAAAATTATATTCATAAGATTTAGACGAAAGCAAATTTTTAAAAATGCAACTTTTTTACGATGAAAATTTTCATTTACCAAGATTTATTATTATTATTTTTTAAACTATATACATCCGTACAGCTAAAAACATTCACTATATGGTAAGGTAAATAAAATCAAACGATAGAAAATATTTAGAACGGACTTAAATTAAAATTATATAACACCTAACGAAATTGAAGTAATAACTCTTAGAACAAAGTAAACACGAGTTTAATGCAACGCTATACTAGATATAATTTAATAATGGCAACAAAAAACATATTTATTAAAATGGCCTTAAAAAATTATTTCCTACTTGAGATACGATTGGTTAAACTAGTCACAGCTAAAAAAAATAAATAAACAAAACAATTCGAATGATTGACAGAATTTTCCTGGTCATAATATATTCAATTCGAATGAAGAATAAAAACATTCTGTATTTAGGGACAACCTCCCGTTTCGAAAACAGCCTTGTTTGATTCGAGAGGCAGGCGTCGTCGGAGCTACAGCCACAGGAGGAGCGACTAGATACCCGGCAACCACTCCTGTGGACGGGCAACTAATAAATCATAAGACCGGCCTCCGCGAGCAGCGACCTCCTCACATCAACAAAAGCGCGGAAGGATACAAAAGGTGGCGCACGCTGCCGGATATCCGCCTTAGTGACGTAAGGAGAGCGCGTAACAGGTGGCAACAAGGGAATATTGTAGGTAAACATTTGGTTTATTTTGTTGTTCTTTTTTAACAACTCTTTTTCTTTCCTTGTTCGTTGCGTGCGGAAAAGTTAAAGAGGATGTTTCGCGTCGGGGACTGTGAAAATATGTAACAAAGTAAATATATTTTCATTCCTTCTGATTCATCGGGTAAAAATTTGTCACGAAAGTTATCGAATGGCGCCAAAACTGTGACGAAATATTTATAGGGAATTCGGAATATTTAAAAAAGGGAATTCGTAAAACGTGAGGGTAAAAAAAAAAATTTCCAGTTCCAAGAGGCATCATTCAAATTTATTTTTTAATAAATAGGTTTATTTAAATCTAGTTAAAAAGAATTTTAATCTTTATTTTATTTTTATAATTCGTTTCTAGCATTTATTAGGATTATTACATAAAATCGAAAATATTTTTTGGTTCCAAAACTTAAATAATAAAAAATGCATTACTTTCGATAGAGACTTTATAAATAAATTAACTTTATAATTAAACTTTGAGAAAATAAAAATCGTAGATTATAGAATGAAAATTTAAAGCTAATGTACTTAAAACGAAAAAAAAAAATCACAAATTAAAACCAGATAGTAAAATACGCAATTTATCATAATTTCGCAATAGCTTAAAATGTATGTTTTTAATAAGATACAATGATAAGGTTTTGAAAAATTAAGTTACGGATTATTTATGCCAGCGTTGCGTAATAGAGTAGTGCATTAAATAAGATTAGACATCAATAATTTTGGATATGTTTCATAATCTTCGATTAGATAAAGCTAGATAACTGGCAATTTTCCCGAAGAAAAAAAAAATTTGGTCCATATTTTTAACTTCAAATATATCGTTTGAACACTATATGATTAGCATTGGGCAGGAAAGGAAAAGATGTTGGTGCCTTTAGCTGGATTCAAACATGGAGCTGGTTTCTGAAGCTCAGCAGAGAAGAAAACATTAGATATTTCGGACCTCACGTACTGTTACGATTAACTAAGCGGTATTATCTTTAATTTTAACGATATCTTTATCGACTTATTTAATTTAATATTTATTTCGATTTTACTGTTTGCTTATTTGCCTTTCTCTTAACTTAAAGTAAAGATTTGAGATTAAATGCATTTCCGGTCCTACCTTGTTCTTCGAATATTATATGAAAATTATGAAATATAATATCTGACGATATTTATATTTCCAATCAAACTGTGAAAAAAATATTAATTAAGGGATTTAGGATAACCTTTGATATTTTAACTTTGAGTGGATCTTGACTGTTAACCTAATATGATTGGGTTTTAACTTTTAAGTGAGTAAGTTTTTAATAAGACAGCAAAAAACAAGGAAAAAAAAAAGGATTCCCGGAATTTCGAAGAGGATTGATTAGAAATGGAAAGAGTTGTTGGAAAAATAATTGAGTAGAGATGAAAAAGAGTTAAGTCGGTTAATTAAGGCAGAGAATGGAGAAAAAAAAAATGTGTAAGTTTAAAGATAGGAGATGGGGAGTGTATTCAACAAACAGGAAGAAAGTAAATAAAAGAATCTTACAAGATGATCTTAAACGATATTGTAATTAAACATTTAGCAATTAAAGTTTTATCCTTAAAATAATAATTCATTTAGTATTATGATTTTATGTACATACTCTTTTTCACTGATATTCAAAATTAAATTAAGGTAATAAATAAAATTTATCTAAAATAAAATTTCGATTTAAGTTCTCAGCGAAGTAAGTACTCCGAATTCGAACTCATCCTTGTCACAGAATGTATATAATTCGAATATAACTTAAACTAATCGATACTGGGGTTTAATCTTACAAAAATTATAGCTCAAAGTACAGATTATGTATTATTACTTTACAACTCCCTATATTTATGGACTATTTTCTGTGTAAGACTGTACTTAATTTAACTAGTCTAATTAAGCTAAAAAATAATAAGTTAACTTACATGCCTAATTTGAATAAATTGATCAGATATAAATTTAAAAAAAGAACAATTGTCAACTTAATGAAATCGATAGCAATCAAATAAACTCGATGTAGAAGTGTGATTACGCCTCAGGTACCTTCCAGCATTTAAAAGCGAAGAATTGGGTAAAAAAGAATAATGAAATACATTCTATTTCAGTCCCGTGTGGGCGTTTCCACCATCATTTGAACACTTCTAGGAAATCGTCCTTTGTTCGAGCTGTTGCCACTTCTCTCAACTCAAATATCCTCAATGTCACTCTAACGTGCTGATCTGTCAAAAAGAGCCGCCATTGTTTGAGTGAAAACTGGGTCAGCCTGTCATCGTTTTATCCCCCTTCGCTTTTGGATGGGACGATTCGTATGACAGTCAAGAACTAGATGTCGGTATCATTGGCAATGGCATTTTCACCATTGTCAAGAAATTCCCTAATCTTTATCACTTTTGTCCCTAATCATTAGCCTTTTTTTTCCCCAATCTCTCCTTATCAGTAATGGTCTCGAATATCTTTCAAATTAATTAACTGAATCAATTGAAGAGTTTCAAATCAAGCGTTGAAGTTGGCAATTTCAATAGAACTTCTGAGGTATGAAGTTGAACATCAAGATTTTTTTTTAATTATATAAACGTCGAAATAAAATCGTCATTAGAGAATGGAGAATAGAAAATATCGCTTTCTTAAAAAAAAGAGGGTGGGAATTTAAAAAAAAAAAGAAATCGGATTTCTTTTCCCCCATATTTAACTTAAAATTCTTTTCCCACTGGTTTTAAAGAAAACTTAAAACCATACAATTTCGTATATTAAAAATTCAAATGTTCCCAAAAAAAAAAATTCAAAATTCACTACTTTGAATAAAAAAACTCACGATTTCACTTTACATAAAAAAAAATTCAAAACACTCCACTTAATATTAAAAGGAAGTCAAAATACTCCATTGTATGAAGAAAAAAAAAAAAAAACTAACAATATTTTACATTAAAAAATTTATTTGCATTAAAAAATTCAACATAATTCACTTTGTAATAAAAACAATTATAATTATATTTTTCACACAATTATGAACTTCTGCCTTTTTAAAACGAGCATTGTTCAAAAAATTAAAAGCCTGTTTACGAACTTACAGTCAGTATTGCACATCTGTTGGGGGGGGGGGGCACCAATGTCAACAACGGATTGCCGTAGCGAAAAGGCGAACTCTATGTTTGCTATTTTCCTTTTTCTATACAAAATTTTAAGGAAAGCAATCTTTACAATATCTTTACGATACCGTTTACGATATTTTCGTCTTTGAGTCGTCATTAGAAAAAAAAAATTAAGACTTTATTTTATAATTATATGCTTTTTTTTAATATTTAAAAAAAATAAAGTTTAAGTACTAACAAGTCTCAAATAACAATAATAATAAAACTAGCTATTACTCGTGGCTTTGTCCGCTCGGAAGTACTTTGATTTCATTTTTAACTATTTTCCAGAGTATGCATTGAATTTTAGTATTAATTTAAAATCAGTCCGGCAGCCATTAAATCATGGTGCGTAGCGTTTTTAAAAAGTGCTTAAAGGTGCTTATTTTCGATTTTAGTTATTTAAAAGCCCTTAAAGGTGCTTTTTTCATTGGGTGTTTTTAAAAAGTGCTTATTTTTCCCTTTTTAAACATGAGATTTTTTTCCCGCTACCATGTCGATTTTCAAAACGTGTAATATAAAAGTGTGCTTTTCACATTGTTCTATTCAACGTTTTCACAAATCATTTCGGCGTACCGTCGGTCCATAGCTTATGAAAGCGCTAATCATTTTATATGTTTCATGAAATACTTGCGAGTTCGTATGTGCGTCTACTGAGCTAGGTTCGGCGAGTTAATTGCCTTCTCATGTGCANAAAAAAAAAAAAAAAAAAAAAAAAAAAAAAAAAAAAAAAAAAAAACTTACAATATTTTACATTACAAAATTTATTTGCATTAAAAAAATCAACATAATTCACTTTGTAATAAAAAAAATTCATAATTATATTTTTCACATAATTATGAACTTCTGCCTTTTTAAAATAAGACTGTTTACGAACTTACAGTCAGTATTGGGGGGGGGGNGGGGGGGGGGGTCACCAATGTAATAACGGAGTACCGTAACGAAAAAACGAACTCTATGTTTGCTATTTTCCTTTTTTCATACAAAATTTTAAGGAAAGCAATCTTTACGATACCGTCTACGATATCTTTACGATACCGTTTACGATATTTTCGTCTTTGAGTCATCATTAGAAAAAAAAATTAAGACTTTATTTTATAAATATAATGTTTTTCTTTAATATTTAAAAAAATAAAGTTTGAGTACTGACAAGTCTCAAATAACAATAATAATAAAACTAGTTATACTCATGGCTTTGTCCGGTCGGAAGTACTTTGATTTCACTTTTAACTATTTTCCAGAGTATGCATCGAATTTTAGTATTAATTTAAAATCAGTCCGGCAGCCATTAAATCATAGTGCGTATCGTTTTTAAAAAGTGCTTAAAGGTGCTTATTTTCGATTTTCGTTATTTAAAAGCCCTTAAAGGTGTTTATCATTAGGTGTTTTTAAAAAATGCTTATTTTTGCCTTTTTAAACATGAGATTTTTTTTCCGCTACCATGTCGATTTTCAAAACGTGTAATATAAAAGTGTGCTTTTCACATTGTTCTATTCAACGTTTTCACAAATCATTTCGGCGTACCGTCGGTCCATAGCTTATGAAAGCGCTAATCATTTTATATGTTTCATGAAATACTTGCGAGTTCGTATGTGCGTCTACTGAGCTAGGTTCGGCGAGTTAATTGCCTTCTCATGTGCAACTCAGCTGCATTTTGCAAAATATTCTCAATTTCAGACTTCATTTTCCACCCTACTGATATCGAACCGAAAAATCTCTCGATCATTTTATAACGGCTAATATAATCAAGAAAAAGAGTTCTTTGTCAGAAACTAGTTATTTTCTCATGATCATGTAAAGTCTTGGAAAATTATTTTGCAATTTGCTAATGTATATAGTGCTTAAAAATATTTTTTGAGTGCTTAAAAAGTACTTAAAAGGTGCTTATTTTTGGGGGGAAGATTTGGCTATGCACCCTGTAAATCACATAAACCCCTATAAGTATGAGTTCAGGACATTTCAGCATAGTATAGA